GAAGGAGAAAGAAAAACTTGTAGAGAGGACAGAAAATGTGTCCTATTTCTGTCCTCCTATTTCTGTCCTGTAGCCTAAGTGTGAAAGGAGGACTAGCCCTTAATCGACCTTTTAGATGTTCAGGAGATCTTCAGAGGTGCAGTGCATTACAGATGAGCAACGTTGGAGCTGTGGGAGTGCATTTGGGCAGAGGGGGCAACGACACTGACTGGTTGGCATATGCTTGTTTTGGTAGCAGAGATGCCTTCTCTCAGAGAACATGCTGTCCATGTGGGAATCTTTTAACGTTCAGGATTTTAAATGTTGGGACAGTAAAGAACAGTGACTGCTAACGCTTGAAATGAATAGGTAGGGAGCACTTTTAGGAAGTGTAAGAAACAGAAGAGTAGTCAGGGGAAGAGGGGTGGTGTAAAGTAACAGGAAGGAAAGAGAAACCTGTATCTGTACTTTGAAGATTATAGTCCTTTCTAAGGAGAGCTCAGTTAAGGATGGGATGTGTTCAGGACGCTAAAATAGCAGAAGAGATAGGAAGAGAACTAATTCTTACAAGCAACGTGGGAGCAAAGGAAAAGGAGGGAATGAGACAGGTGAACGTTTTCAAATGCTTATTTCTGTGGTGGTTGATGTCTGTAATTGTTTCAGGAGATGGTGCTTTTATAATAAATCTTCCTGTCACTTAAAGCCAGAACCGCAGAATGTTTTACATTTGATCACTGTGCAAACAGATTATAATCCTCATCAGATACCCTCTGGTCTTCTTATTTCTCTTTCTTTCATTATAGCTTTGCTATAAGTAATTATAGCTTCATTTTTAAAAGTGTCACTAACAGAATCTAAACCGTGGAAAACTGGGTAATATTTGAAGCAAATACTGACTTTTAGTGGTGTATTCTGTACCACAGACTACTTATATGAGCATTTACAGGATGCACTGGAAAGAGCTGATCGTGTCCATTCTCAGGCTCCTGAAACATAGATTGCAATGAGTATCTACAAATTTAAAAATCTGGAGAATAATTGGATATAAACCTGGAAGTATTCTGAAAGGCAAACAAAAACTGATGTTGTTCTGATCTACAAGCTGTAGAAATTATGATGTTCAATATTTAAAAAAATTAATCTTGTTCTTACATCCTTTATACAGCAAAATTTTTGTGAAATTTAGGGGAGGCAAAATGTTTCTTTATGGCTGGAAGATTTTGCTTTGCAGAATATTTTGCATTTGCCCCTTTTGAAGTACCACATAGATTTCAAGGGTAGAATTTTGTCTGGTTGAATTATGTAGCTGACCCTTTGTGTTTTATGTACCCTAACTAAATTCAAGTAGATGTGAAGCTACACAGTGTCCTTCTTTTGAGAGATGTCAGGTGTGAAGGGTTTAGCTTATAGCTTGTTTTACTAGAAGAACTGAATATGACTGGAAATTGATCCATCTAAAGGTTTAGAAGCACAGGTCTAAGCAGTCAGGGATAGGTAGTCCAAGGGATAGGTGGTCCATGGCGTTTTCCAGAAAACTTCAGTGTTAAGATGACAAATCCCCAGGTGTGTTTTAACAAGAAAGATGTAGTAGCACCTGCAATGGTATTGGAAGAATAGAGATGTAATTGAAATGTTGCTGTTGCATGTTAACTCACCTTTTAGTGAACAAGTTTCCCACACACATGCTTGAAGTGGAAAGCAGGTGCTGGAACCATCTTCCATCTGGAATAATTGCTCAAAATAAGTCACAGGATCAATTTTGTCTTTCCTTGCTTGCTAGATTGTGGGTTCAGCTAGCACATCCAATGACACTTCTGCCTCCAATGGATTGTACCTGTGTTAAGAGCATTGCAAGGTTGTGTTCTTGCTGTGGAAAAGCGTGTGTTACAGCTGTCTTTTCTGCTCTCCTCATGAGACTTCAACACTTCTCTCAGTTTTCTCCAGCACGCCTCCATGTGTGAAAGCTGAATTGTAAAGAATGCCATTTTCAGCCATCATAAGGTTGTCATGCAGTTTTGTGACTAGATTATCTAGTCTAATTATTTTTTAGACCAAGACACAAATATTTTGTTGTTCTCAAAAACAAATTCTTATGTTTAGTGTCAATTTTTAGAAGTAAGGAAAATAATTAGGCACAAGTTGCTAATTCTTTCTTCTTTTTCAAAAGCCTCCTCCTTGTCTTCAGCTAGGGTTCTCCTTTTCTAGAGACGAAAAATGCCTGTCTTCCCTTATTGCTGGCAGCTCTGCCCACCTGGAGGTTTGACTGGGAACACATTCTGAAAAGAGATGCTTTGAATGGGTGTTACTCTGTGGAAAGCTAAATCTCCCATAGCTGTTACTGCCATGCTCTTAGATTAAATTAAACAGTTTGGCGTAACTATTAATCACTTCAATTATTTCCATAATTCCAACTCCAAGGCAGCTTTGTATGTTTAGCTGGCTTAGTCATATCACATGGTCATGACTTTCAAGGCATTGTCCAAGGGAGAGAAACAACTTGCAAAAAGCTTACTAGGCTGGAGGGCAGAAGTGTTCCCAGTGACAAGCCCTCCTGGTCGTTTTGCAGCCCCTGCTTGGCTGCCTGTTTGGTAGCACCCTCTATGCGTTGAACTGGAGTGTTTAGGAAAGGACAGGACTTCTTTGGTATATGAAAATCTGGTGAAGAACAGTAGAGGTGTAAAAGGCCCACCTAGCCAGGTCTTTGGTTGTTCTTACATAAGCCAATCCCCAAAATGCCTCATCTTGAGAACACAGAAAACATCTCATTGAAACCTGTGACTTAAATCCTTCCCAGAACTGGGCATCCTGCCCAGCTCCCTCCATCCTAAAGTCTCTTACAAAAGGGATAAAGACCATGAATCCAGAGAGTGCTGGGAGATTATTGGTCTAACAGACACTCCCTGTTCTCTACCTGGATATGAAGCCAGTAATGACTTAACCCTATGCACTGGTGTAAAGGTTAGAGGAAACCCCAACCTTGCACTGCTTTAATGAAACGCTTGAAAACAATGAAAAGCAACTCAAAAGACTGCGCAAGAAAGAGAAAGATTAATTCTGTGTCAATGAATGCTTTAACCTGATTCATCCATCAGTCCCACTGTGTGCAAAGTGAGCCCTAATGATGCATCAGTCATTGCCCTGTAACAATTGTGTAGTTGGTTTTTTTCTTCTCTTATAAATCTGTCCCAATTCCAATGTTTCTGAGGTTTTAGTTCTAAGGCTTACAGAATGTTGCAGAAATACTAAGAATTATACTTGGGCCAGTGGGAAAACATAGCTTAAAAGAATTTTTCTTTTTCAGGTATCTCCTTAAACCTAAAATTTCACAGATATCATTCTTAGTATCTTACAGGCCAGATTTATCTTTTAGATCAATCAGTGAGCAGTGCTTGATCTACAAAGGTGTCTTAGAGACAGATTATTACAGGTTAACTGGCTGAATTCAGAAATTTATGTAGTCCCCTAAAAACTGGTAGAAGTTACCTTAAAGCTAACAGATTCAGCGTAAGTCTGTCACAAAGCTGTAAGAGGGATGAGTATGTACATTAACTGTGCTGATAAAATTTCTACAGTATGAGCTTGTTTGTCCTAACATTCACCTTATGCCTTCTGGTGGCAAATTCAGCTATGAACAAAATTATTTCCAGGTGATCTTTTGATCAGAGAACTGATTGTAGGGGAAGTACATGTGCAAAATGCAGTGGGGTCAGGCTGCCCTCCTTATAAGGCCCCACAGAATGGTGGGGCAGCTGAGACCAATCTTAATTTAATCTTGATTTAATCATCCCAGGGATACACAGAGTTCTGCTGTTTCATGGAGCAGATGGAAAGACAAAACTGAAAATGAAATGTGAAAGTGAATGCTGATTCTCACTGTAAATATTTTCTCTTCTGAATTTATGGTAAATAAGAAGCAGTGGAATAAGAAAATTATGCAGTTCTAGACAGATACAGATTATAGGCTTTTTAATAGAGGTACTCCTGTGATGCCCAGTGAGCATCGGTTGGTTACAAAGTGCTTGGTTAGATTTTTCACGTACCTTCTGTGTTCATCTCCAGGCCTCCACCCCTGCTGAAGGCTGATTTTTTAGAACTGTATTTAAAATATTCCTGAAAGAATTTGCACTTACAAAACCCTTTTGCGAGTAGTGGGGCCTTTTATAAGGAGAGAGAAATAATGAACTGCAATGTCTTAAAGGCCAGATTTTTAAAGGTATTTAAGTGCTTATAGCAATGGAAATTTAATATCTAGATGCTTTTGGAAATCCCTCAAGATGCTTAACTGTGTCTGTAGATTCTTTAATAAATTTGTTCCAAGTGGTTTGCCTAAGGTGCAGTTAGTCACTGCTAGAAAGTTGAAAAGGGAAGCTTTCTCTTACTGCTGTAGCCATTAAGCATTTTTACCTTCTTTATGACAAAGCGATGGGAAAATATAACTTTATAGAATCCGATGGAATAGGGAAGAAATAGCAATGAGTTATAAAAGAAAAATGAAGTTCAGGCTTTTTCTGAGTAGTAGACTTCTCTTGTAAGCTCATGCTCATAACTGTAATGGATGAAGGTAGCCTCCCACTGTTTGTAAAGTCTCTATAATCATCACATGGTTAATCAAAATTATTTGCTAAATCCTTTCTACAGTGTGGTTGAGAATCTGTGAAATATTAGGTAGCAGGTGATTGAGAGAATTTGATCTGCTCAATGCATTTTAATAGTAAAAATCACATGCTATTATTTCTCTTTTCTGGTTGATCATAGTTCTTGTTGCAATCCTAATATCTGGTTTGAGTATTTAATGTTTCCAAGTTTGCATTCATTTTCTTGATGTCAGTTCGTTTACTTAAAAACACAGGGTGAGTATGAATGCCAGGTGAAATGATTTTTTTGTATATTTTCAAAAAATAGTGATACAATCCCCACAAGCAGCTTTCGTCAGTGTAACCTTTTTGTCCTGTTTTTCATCATTACTGCATATTCTCAGTTTACTGTTTTTCTCATCAAATGCTTTTGTTTCCATTAACCAGGATGCTGAGAAATTGGCTGGTGAAGAGTGTGCTTGGAAAGAAGTCAAAGATGCTGTAAATGAAGTGAGATATCCAAAATCAAAAGAAGGTATCCTTTCTGTGACAAGCTACAGTCTGTCATTCAGCTGTGAAAACAATGCAGAGAGCCCCTTAGTAAGCACTTAATCTTTTTAGATTTATTTCCTAAAGGTTTACATTTTTTATGTTGTTTTAAAATGTATTTTTAATTGATTTGATGTTCAAACCATGTCATATTCTTAATTGTATTAATAGTAGTAGAGTCTCTGATTACTTGGACTGGAACTGCTTCATGGCAGGGATGGTAGGTACCTAGGATGCGAAGGGATATTTTGGCTCAGGTGTAGACTTCTGCCATCACAGCCCACCACGTCATATAAATCCACTTTTAAATGAAATAAAGCTTAATTTGAACATTGTTAGATTCTTTGTCCCATTATTCCCATTGTGAAAATTTCCAGGTTCTCATTCTTTGCACAGCGAGGACAATAGCAAGGACATAATCACAGTCAGGTTCACTGCAAACACTATAGAATCATTGTAATAAGTTATAATAATAATAGATAATTAAGCAAATTGAATGAGATGATCTTGCACTAATAAACAAAACTGGTACGTAATGGCAATGGCTATCATGTAGTTATTCAATCCCATTAAAAAAACTGGTGAACAGCAAAACCCAAGAAAAGATGAGCAGAAGAGAGGTGGAGATTTTTTACTAGCAGACTATGAGTATATTCATCCCTCTGTCATCTTAGTCTATTCAGTGGAATTTCACTGTGAATTTGGCCTAATGTAGCAAGGTGCCTTACCATTTTCAGAAGCATGGGCTTTCTCTGGAGCTAGAAAGAATTAAATCTTCCAGTACTCCTTTTCAGCAGCATAAAAACAAGTTTCATAGTGATATTCCAGGCTCGAAACAAGTAATCACAATTTTTATTGTAACAACGACAACAAAAAAACCACCACAACTGAGTTTCTTTCTAGTCCAGAGAGATTCATTTGTTAGCAAGAGGGAAACACTCATCTAACTTTAATCTTCATATAGTTTCTAGTCTGTCTTAAGTTCCTCTGTAGTCACTGGGTTGAGACAGACAATACTGAAATAGATCTTCAGGCATTCAGTTATACTTCAAGGCCCGTGTTTTAACATGAAAGTTAAATTACAGATATGCAACATGCGGTTACAATCATTTTTATACTGAAAATATGGAGCCAGTCCTATTTAATGTTCCTATATTTAACTGAAGGAGAAAGTGCACCTACTCAATTTTGGTAGGGTCTTTAATTAAGGTTACTGATTTAGCTGATATTTAAAAATAAATCAAACACATTGTAGTAAAAGGTATCAGGACTGGTTCAAAAAATACATCTGTGCTATCCATTCAGCTCCTGTTCTCAGACATGGGCTATTTGAAATGTGTCATCTTTCCTTCCATTGCACCACAATAGCAGTGCTAAATGGCACGCAGTGACAAGTGCAGTACCTGAAGAGAGGGCTTGATGTTTGTCTGCTTGCCAAGAATGAATAGTAACCTTTGCTTGCTGACTTAAGCACATAGTCATTAGTTTGACAGGCTGGAGAGTTGGGCGGAGAGGAACCTTATGGAATTCAACAAGGGCAAGTGTAGGGTACTGCATCTGGGGAGGAATAACCCCATGCATCAGTACAGGTTGGGGGCTGACCTGCTGCAGAGCAGCTCTGTGGAGAGGGACCTGGGAGTCCTGGTGGACAACAGGATGACCATGAGCCAGCAATGTGCCCTGGCGGCCAAGAAGGCGAATGGCATCCTGGGGTGCATCAAGAAGAGTGTGGCCAGCAGGTCGAGGGAGGTCATCCTCCCCCTCTACTCTGCCCTGGTGAGGCCGCATCTGGAGTATTGTATGCAGTTCTGGGCTCCCCAGTTCAAGAAAGACAGGGATCTGCTGGAGAGGGTCCAGCAAAGGGCTACAAAGATGATTAGGGGATTAGAACATCTCTCTTATGAGGAAAGGCTGAGGGACTTGGGTCTCTTTAGTCTAGAGAAAAGAAGACTGAGGCAGGATCTTATTAATACTTACAAATACTTAAAGGGAGGGTGCCAGGGGGATGGGAACAGCCTTTTTTCAGTGGTGCCCAGTGATAGGATGAGAGGTAACGGGCACAAACTTGAACATCGGAAGCCCCATCTTAACATGAGGAGGAACTTCTTTCCTTCGAGGGTGGCAGAGCACTGGCACAGGCTGCCCAGAGGGGTTGTGGAGTCTCCCACACTGGAGACATTCAAAACGCGCCTGGACACCGTCCTGTGCAACCTGTTGTAGGTGCCCCGCCCTGCTCTGGCGGGGGGGCTGGACTAGATGATCTCCAGAGGTCCCTTCCAACCCTGACCATTCTGTGATTCTGCAAGTGTAATTTTTTAGCAAATTAAGCCAACAATTTCTGTAGTTGAGAAAGTTAGTGACTTCCAAAACCTTAGCTACTGATTATAGCTGATACAGTTTGTAATGCTAAATCTGCAGCTAGAGAACTTGAAACAATATGGGTGAGTGAACTGTCTCAGGCCCAAATTCCAGTTTAAGCATACAAAGTGAGATGCTAAAGCCAAATGCAAGGGGATTATTGTGGAGGAAAAGGACTCCTTGGCACCTCAGGCCACACAACAGTAGCAGAGCTGGTTGAGAGATGCTTCTCTGTTCTTGGGCAGATACAGGACAGCCAGCTTCCCTTTTGCCCTGTTGCAGCTGATAGTTGTTTTTCCAGTTTGCAGTTTATGTACCTGAAAATTTGGTCCCAACAGGTCCTGCGATACAGCACATCTGCTATTAGATGCTAGTCAGTGAACAAAGCAGCATAATGAGAAGCAAAAGCAGACAGACATATGCATCAGCTAAAATGGTAATCTTTCAAGAATGTCAGTGCTTTGTACTTTCTACAAAAATTGTATCAAGTGGAAATAATATCCCTCATTCTTCTGTTTGTCTGTCCTTAATCAGTTGTAAAGAATACATGGATGTTTGCCAGAGATATAAAGGTTAAGGTGCAATTTTATAATAACACATTCCTTCCCTTATATGGTTCTTTCAATCCAAGGGCATGAGAGCAATTCACAAATAATTAGTTTAGCCTTGTAACAACCATACTATAAATCCTGGCCCAGCTACATAATGGTCACATTCTTAAATTTTAAGTATGTAAATATTCCTATGTTCAGGAAGGACTAATTACTTCATCACAGGGTTATCATTGCACACTTCAAGCCATTGCTAAATTGGGGTGTATAGTATTTTCAGTAATGTCATGAAGATAATTGCTGAACTTCCTTGAGTTGATTGTGTGGAAAGGACTGTGATACAAACAACATTATTACTTCTTTTACTGTAAGTCTATTTTTTTTTATTATTTTATTTGTTCTTACTGGTGTGTATGGTATCTTTTGGGGTTTTAGACTGCTTGAATTGTGGGACTCCCATAAAGTCCCAGATGACAGTACTCTTTTGAAGTCTGTGTGTATTGGTATTCAGCTTAGGTGTGGTCAGAGAGAGAATAATCTGGTCCACAGAGAAGTCAAGCCAATGTAGAACGTAATGAAAATAAGTGATTTGTGGTAAGGAGTATCTAACTAAAGTGAATGCAACCCCCAGCTTCCTTCTCTTCCACACACACAAAAAATCTTCTTGTAGCATTGGAAGAAAAATCGTCTTTACTGACAAGATCCTTAATCCTGAACTACAGTCAGACATCAAAACTGTGATGCTTTTCTTTCTCATGCATGAAGCATGCAGCTGTACATGAAAAAAAACAATGCTCTTTACACCTGTTTCAAGGAGAAAGAAAATTAATTAATTGCAAGAAAAGGTTCTAATTTCATGAGAATCCTAAAACAAATCTTGGGCAGCTTAAAAGTATGTGTCATTATTTTAAAATATAAAAAAGATAATTTTTTTTAAGCTGCTGAGACATTTTGTTAAGACATGTTTCCATTGGTTATTGCCCTTGGGTGTAAAGTTTGGAGAAGTATCTTAAGTCAATAATAATGTTTCAGCAGCTAAATAAAACATACTTGAATTTTAGTTTGTTATGTATTAAAATATCCTTTCATTTTGTCATTTTTCTTTTACCCTTTATTGCTGAAATACTGCCTTATTTAGAAATTGTTTTGCTAAATGTAACCAAAGCATAGTTGCCTAAGCTACCACTTCTGAGTTCAAGTATGTTTTCAAGAATTGAAGCAGAGTCTGGAACGATGGCAGCTTTTTTATCTTCATGCCCTGTAGCTCTTACTCTTTGCTAACAACATTTAGAACTTGTATTTTTGTTTGATTGAAGATGTTTCTTTAACTAAGTCTAATAACAGAGTGGGAGCAGGTTCTGGCAAGATGCCAGAATCTCTTGAGCTGCAACATGGGTCGTCTTCCAGACACAAATATCTATCACCTGAAAATGCTTGACTGTGCCATGGATGCCTGTATTAACCTTGAATCCTGGGAAGAAGCTTTGTATTATGGAAGCAGGACTCTGGGACCATACAGGTAAGAGATGTAATTGGTTCTGCTGTTTCCAAAGGTGGAGGGAGAGGGGACTGTCTCATTAAAAGCAAGTATTGTGTTTCGTCTAGATGCTTCTTGCTGGTTTTATTTCTTGCTGTACATCTTGCCTTGCTTTTCAGGTTAATGGATGAGGCAGCATTCCCATTCCACTTCCACAGTTGGGCTGAGAGCAAATAAAATGATAATAGGAACTATAATAATAACTGATTATTATCTCCTCGCTATTTCATGTGTTCAGATGCTGCCCTATCCCTGATCAGAAGTGACTTTCTAGTTCAGACTCCACTGCCGTGAGGTTATCCGTGTTTTATGCTGAGCTAGGTCAAGCTTGAGTGACAGGTAGCTGGCTGAAATAATGTATATTCTTTGTATAATCTACACGTAGAGTTTACAGAAAGAATAAAAATCTTTCAGAATGCAGTTTCAATTGGAAATGAAAAAGGGAAGGGGCCGAGGTGGCGAGGCACTTGCTGTTCTTCTCTCCATCAGTACTTGCTCCTGTGCTGTACTGGGAGAGTTTCTGAGTCTGATGACTTTTTATCGATAAGGAAGGATCCTCTAGGAGATCCTACGTCGTGTGGTAGGTCTTGAAACTGGTTGGAGCCTATAGCTGTAATGCAACTGTGGTCATCTAGTGGAGAAAGAGCAGGTGCTGCCTACTTTGGCTTTGTTCAAAAAGCTCCATGACTCAAATCTTTGGATTCTGGGTATTTACGTTGTTTGTAACCACATGTAAACCTGTGCTGAATGTCCCGATACCATGTTATTCATACATGAATGTTCATTCTTGGTAAGGTATTTTTTAGAGCATCTATTTCTTCTCTGTTGGTTCTTCTACAACATATGATGTTCCAGTACATAGTGTGATGTTGAGAAGTGCGAGGGGCATGTGAGTGCTGAATAATATGTGCTGCTGTGAATATGAACATCTCAGATTTTGCATGTCTTCCCTAATCAAACCACAATGCCATCAGGATTCAGCATTTTGCCTGAGGAAATTTCATGTGGCAGCCTGTTTCTGAGTAAAACTCTGGGCTTTACTTGAGAAACAACACGGCATTTCAGAGCGTTCACTAGAATTAGTGAGAAATCTGCATAGGCTGTGGTACACCAGAGCTGTAGAGAAGCTTGGTGTTCATATGACTATTATTTCTAATAGAGGAGGGCATGAGTGCCTACCAATTCTCACATTTCTTCAGGGTGAAATTCACATCATGTGTGTCCCACTTAACCTTTCAAACAGGGCTTATGTAGTACTGCAGCAGTACATGCTTCCTGCCAGCCTTCTACTGTGTGGCACGCTCCAAATGAGCAGAGTAGTCTGCCTTTTTTAATGTTCCCTTATTAAATAAATAAAAAAAAAAATCCTCACTTGTTTTGTGGTTTGTTTTTTTTTTTTTTTATTTTAAAACTTGTTAACTCACTTCTTCACAACTGACAACGTAGGATTTTTCTACAGACATTTCCAAGAGCAGAGATTACAGTAAGACTGAGTGCAATTTTAACAGATAATTTACTAAAGCTTTCTCTCTTTTGCTGACTGAATTGTACTGTAATTTTTAAGCTGTTTAATGCAGGAGTTTGGAGATGAAGGAAAGGGTTTGACTGTTCATTCAATTAATATCTCTTAAGGAATGCTATTTACATAAGATATGAGACTTTTTTAGCACCTTGAAGGGCTTTTCCTTGTTCTCTTCTCATCCAAAAGCATTATTTAAAAGAGACTTTCAGTTGTTGTTCTTTCTTTATACCTTTAAGTCATCACTACAAGCTTTGACACACCTGAAACAAAATCCTCAGTTTCTCATTACAACAAATTGTGCCCTAAGCAGCAGGAGAGCAAATCCTAGGAAATCTTTTGGGATGCATTGAATTTCTCCTGTTGAATCAATCTACTGCTTGGCTGCTCCTGCAGTTCCATTATAGCTATCTATTTTCCTTTCCTCAGCTCTGGAAAAAAGTATTCATACAGCTCTCCACAGGGAGTCACCTGAGAATTCATGCAGTCCATATAAATAGGAAATCATTGTTACAACTTTAAAGGCCCTGGAGATTTGGTCAAAAACAATTTTAATTTCAGGTAATGTGTTTATTGTGCATTTTCCATTTCTTTAGCAGCAGGATTAATTTTCAGTGCTCTGTGACACATTGTATGGTTATATGTGTTTTTATTTTGATGGTTGCTGACGTTTTCAGAATCATCCACTTCGTGTAACTGGTGGAGACAGGTGGTTAAACTACGTAAAACTGATTTGTCATAGTGAATACTGACCTCTGTGTTCTAGGTAGTGACAATAACCTATGAGGAACATTGGTTAGGACCTCTCAAATATTTTTAGAACTTCCAAAAGAAGGGGAGAGATGGTGGCTGTTGAGATGAAAAGCTGCCTTCTCCTTTTCTGCTGAACTATAACTGGCCTTTATTTGTTAAAACCTACAACATGTACTTTCACTGAGTAACCCAAGCCAAATGTATCTACACAGCTTTTCTTGTAAATGTCACAGTAAGTCTGTCTGTCCAAGACCCTTAACAAAAGTTAAGACATTTGCCTAAGTGAAAGCTGCCCCGCATCATAGTCAGCACTCAGCAGCTTGCAAAAATAAACTTCCTTTCAAAAATCCTCATGAGCCTTAACCACAGAATAACAGAATATCAGCAAGAGGTGTTACATGGGTTTGTCATGTCTCAGTTAGCACATTCACACTCTGGACTGACTGCTGTTTGTGAAGAATCAAATGCAGAGATACTGAGTAAGGCAGACTTCCCTTAGGTTACCTCTGAGGAAGGACCCCAGCGTTTAGCCCTTAAATTGCAGAGAAGGCACATACGTTCTGGGGATTGGGTTGGGGTTTTCTTTTTCCTTGTCAAGTATTCAGTGCTTACAATGCAGACAAAGAGTGGAAGTATGCGTCTGTTATAAAACTCTGCTAGATGTTCTCAGCTATTGTGACAAGAGTAATAAGAAGAAAAGAAGTAGCTAAGTGATACCATGGGCCTACTGGATTTAGGAAGCAGAAGGGACTAGGTAAAGCTGTGTCGCCTCTCTGGGCTCCTGTGGCATCAGGTCTGGTCAGATTCTGATACTGTGAGGACAAACACGT